CACTGCTAACCACAACGCATAAAAACAGGCGCTTGTCCGTCAGTAGTGTGGTTATATAAAATATAAGAGAAAGAGAGAAATTAAGAAATTAATATAGCCACTACAGTGACCATGAAAAACGATGAAAAAATATTGCCGTAAACAGTTTATTTTGCGACACCACGAAACAAACGATAGCGTAAAATGAAAGAGACATTTTTATATCGCCATCCGATATATATCGTTATATCGAACAGCCCTAACTAGAGTCATATTTGACTCTAGAAAACTTCCATATACACAGGAGTTTGAATGAGGTGTTTGTGCATTCAGGTCAAACATCTCCACTTTGGATTGTTGTTCAGAAGACGCTTTGCAAACAAAAGCCGTGCTGCCGTGTTCTTTTAAGAGAGAAGAGGCTTCATCCTCCAACCTTTCCAAACAAGCCATATGTGTTCAGTCATACTTTCATTGTCACTAACTTTAATATTAGACATCCTAACCAAAGCCTGTACAGTCTGCGGTGATGTCTGTATTGGACACAGTGGACATCAAAGTCACTCTGCTGGACAAACTACCTGATGACACTGTTCCACATAAGCGTGCCATTCTGCATTATAATGTATCAGTCGACATCTCACGTCTGTGGCTGGCATTATTGCTGCCATTCCTACATCATGGACAAAGTGTGTTTGTGGGTGTATAGCAAAGGAAACATTTCGGTTGGTCATGGTTAAATTTGTTCATTTCCATATTTTTACCTTCATAAAATATAATTTCCAGTTTGTGCACAGGTCTCTGTAATGGTTTGCTTCTATGCTCGCTGTCCACACTCTTTATCTCAGTGGAAAAAATTACTGATGTGTAGCAAGTATACTTGTACAACCAGTAGCATAATAATCAGGACAGCAGCCAGTACTATCCAGTGTTTTTGCAACGAGTCACGAGCTGCTGTTTCTGCTTTACTGATGCACGTTTGTTTTCTCCTGCAGGAGCTGTGCCAGTGTCGTCCGTCTGATGGGAACTGCTCCTGCTGTAAAGAGTGCATGCTGTGTCTGGGGAATCTTTGGGAGGAGTGCTGCGACTGCGTGGGTGAGTGCAGGGGACTCCGTTTTTATTAGCAACGCATTTTAAAGCTGACAGAAAGTTGGTCCGTATTGTTTTAGGTTTGGAGAACTTCACTGTTAGTTCAGGCTTCTGCACACTGAGCAGGTTGGTGATATCTGCTGAGCTCAACGTGTGCGACATTAGTGTCAGCAGCGATGGATGTGTTTGCCGCAGTGCTGAATTTGTTGTGAAGTTTTGTTTACAAGGATTTATTTCCAACGGTAACCAGCGACGCAAGACTGAAGTGCAAACACAAACACGCACACATACAGCACCATGTCACATTTTTGTTTTGTCCTTCTGAACTGTATGACTCAACTTGAATCACCTCATCGCTCACTCTACACTCAAAAAAGGTGACACGAAAGCGCTGCCGTCCCCTCCTCCGTCAGAGAGAAATGGGGTGAGACATCAGGCCCAAGGTCTCCTGTTTTTTTTGCTGCCTTTTCTGAAGCATAGTTTTTGTTTTTTTTCCTCCATGTTGAGAAAAAACATGGACAAATGGCTAATCGTGCATCTTTCACCACTTATTCAGGTTTAAGACGAGGCTTTGGGAGCTTTACACAGTGCTGATACTGGACTCTGTTGTGAATCCAGCCTATGTTCAGAGGGTTGCATAGGGAAAAGTACCCATAACAATGAGAATACATGGCTTTAAGGCCAGCTCAAGACAGAGCTTGTTTCAGTCAGAAGTATTACACAAGTTCCTCTGTGTTGGGAAAAATGACTCTGTCCTCTTTATAGATCAGATTGACTTGAAGAAAAATGTGGTGAGAACTGTGCAGACTTCTTCTGAAACATTCATGGTGTGATTTGAAGGAGGTCGCAAAATTTGATGGAAGTGTTGTGGCATAGAAGCAGAGCCTGTGTCATGCTTATTTTATGCTACCCCGATTGTTTCGATTTATGGAGGGATTTGTCCACGGAGAGGGGTTTTCAAACTATGTAAATATGCTCCCGACAGTCCTCCAAAATCCATGCTGCATGGTGCTTGACATGGATGAGTGTGTTCGTTGCTGATCGGTTGATGAGTAGGCGGGGACAGGGAAGGTAGCAAAAAGGTAGAAGTTCAAAAAAATTCCACAAATTTCCCCAAATCATCTTCGTGTGCTAGAAGTTTACTATTCTCTGCACCTGATGGACCCACAGCAACCTAATCAGCAAAAGTGGCCACGTATTTAGGACACTGCCCTCCCCATCTGACCACAGGCGTGCTCTGCAGGTGAACCATAATTTCCCCATAAAGATAAGCTGAGCTCATCAGGGAACCCAGTGGCTAGCCTATTAGCTCAATCATTTAGCTTGTGTGCACCAAACATTAGTTACGAATGTAGATGATTCCAAAGATCTCAAGAGCTAAATCGTTGTCAGATGATCATCAGTGGTTCCAAGCTTGCATTTTGTCAAATGAAATCCCAGTTTTGTTGTAAGAAACCCTGACGCCTTGTCACAGCAAGTGTTAAACTCCCCCCAGAAAAAAGAAAGTAATGAGCACTATTGCTCATATTTTGACTCGTAAGGTAGTTCAAATAATTCTGACACTGATCTGTATCCATACCTGAACGTGCCAGTTGAAGTCTCATCTCTGAGCTCTTTCTCCCAGTAAAAGCCTGAGAGCGAGGCTGTAATGCGCTCGACAGCTGAGAAGCACGCAGGTTTAAACCGCTGCAGTTTGCTCAGGGTGTTGCTGCTGTGATACCAGAGTGTGAGGCGAGCAGAGCCAGATATCAAACGTGTCTCGGCCTCCGTGCGGAGAGGACGACTGTTTATCAGAGCACAGGAAATTAAAGTAGCACTTCCACATATGGACAGAAGTCTCGAGGTGCTCCCGAAGATCAAAGGATGAAGAGGCCCCGAAGGGACAGCGAGGCCGAGCTGCTAAAACGAACTCTTGACTTTTGGTTAAAACTGTAACTCACTTCAAACCAGCAGGGGTGGTTTGAAAACCAGACTTAAAGGCAGATTGGTAAAAAAAACAAGAGAAACAGTGAGCTGTTAAAGCTATCCCACCTCCGCTACATGGCTGCACGACATCCAGACTGTACGAGTTTTTTGTTTTTTTTTAAAGCTGTAATATAGCAGTGCATCTCATTATTCTCATTTTGTGTTTGACTCTTGCAGGTATTTTTGTGTCACTCTCACTGTTTTGTGTCCTTTTTGTATTTTATCTTGTAGTTGTTTGTGTGTCTGTTCTGACTTTCTTGCTTATTTTATTTCTTTGTGGTGTTTTTGCCTCTTGTTTTGTGGTTGGTCTGTTCCTCTTTAAAGCTGTTTTGCACATTCTTTTCTGTGTCCTTGATAATTTGTGTACATTTGTGTGTGTTCTGCTTTCCATTTTGCATCTCTCGTTTGATATTTCTTTGTTTCTGTCTCTGGTGGTTTTGCGGCTTCCCCTAATGCTTTTATATTTGTTTGTTTTGTAAATCTGTATGTAGCTTAGCATGTGGATTTAGCTTATTTTGCACTTCTTTTGGTTTTTATTTATTTACTTATTTATTTGGTAGAGGTTGTTTAACCCCACCCCCCAAAATCCCTTCCTGTGGAGGGTGCCTGCATCTGTTAAGAATTTTATCCGTAGCCATTTTCACACGCTGCACTTGCATAGATTGAAACGCTCTTAATAACCTTCCAGATCCCACAAAGTCTGCGTGGCGTAGGAGACTCCCTCATCTAAATAAAACAGATTTCCAGAAGCGATAACACTCGCACACACACTGTTTAACACGTTGAAGCTGTGTGCTACGTGTGAGAGAGGACACCTGTTGACACGTCACGATTCCCCTCACGTTGTTTGGAGTTTGTGCGAAAACGCAAGCACGAGGTTTGAGCTCTCGCCCTCGTAAACCACTCTTCTCTCAGATCAGCTCCGACAGACAGATATTGCTTCACGTGCTGACAAGGAAGCTTTATTAAAGCTCTTTCATGTGGAACGCGAACACAAGAATCTGACACTGAGCTCTGAACTCCATCCTGCTGCTCCTGCTGCTGCTGCACAGATGTTACGTGCCGTTTTCCTCCCGGACAGGCCTTTTACAATACACCGAGGATGGCTTTTAGCTTTGAGCAAGTTTATACTCCTCATTTATGTTTTTGCTTTTCCGCCTTGCCGCTACCCTTATGTCTACTTTAAGTAAGTTTTCACTCTAAACACGCTCCCTGTGCCAAATTCCATCTACTTTGAAGTGTGTGTCTGAGAGCCGTTAGAGCGGCCGACTGGAGGGGAGAGGACGGTTTATATTTTAGAGGAGGGAGGGAGGGAGGGAGGACCCATGTGTACATTTTATTGAAAACAGCTGTTCTGGCTCTGCTTTTAGCATCAGTTTTGTAATCCAATTCCTCTGTCAAACTCCGTTCTCCATAAAATGATTTAGTCATTAACTATAATTCACTTTGACTCATTTGAAGGCTTAGGAAGATCATATCTTGATGTGGGGACTTTGTCGAGTGATTACTACTGTATCTGGAAATTAAATGAAGTGTTAAAAAGGCCTTAATTGAGACGAGACGTTTTTGACAGTGGTGTGGTTTTACACAACGGCCCGTTGTGAGTTGCTGTGTCTGTGTGTGTTTGACCGTTTAGCCTTTAAACCAGTCTTTGTATTTAAGATTTAACTGGATAATTCAAGACTGTAAAGGGGGAAAATGTCTTA